TGTTCGTGTGTCACTGTAGCAGCTGCTGTACCGAAGCTGAAACAAAGTCAGTTCAGTCTCTCCGGCCCGGGGGCTGGGCGTCCGAGCCCCAGGTTCCTCCCGAGGCCTCCCTCCCCGCCTGCGATGTCCTCGCAGGGCCGCCCCTCCGTGAGTCTGGGCTCTCATCTCGCCTTCTTAGGAGGACACAGGTCACACCGGATCAGGGCCGCCCTCCGCCCTCGTTTGACCTTTACCCCCCCCCCAGCTGCCCTCTCTCCAACGACGGGCCCCCTGTGAGACGCTGGGGTGGGAACTTCAACATACGAACTCTGGGGGGACATGCTGGGCCCGGGGCTGCCCCAAGTTCAGTTTCCCAACCCGAAGGGATGGATTGGGAACCTGAGGTGGCTGTCGGGGTGAACACCACGGCTCAGCTCTCCCACCTGGGCCCCTGAGCTGCTCTGGACACACAGGGTGTCACAAAAGACCAGAGCACCCAAGGGCCGTTGGGGCAGAGTCTACGGCAGCCAGACTCGGGGCCGTCTACAGAGGTCACCCCCTCAACAGGGCTGTGGCATGCTGGGAGCGGAGGGCTCCCCGAGAACTGCACCGGCACCCCCGCGAGCCTGTCCGCTCAGGGGCTGGCCCGGAAGGTGGGTCACCAGCTGGTGACGGAGAACTTAATCGGAGGGCTCCTGAGTCAGGAGCTAGAGCTGAAGAGGCCAACGGCTGGTGGCAGAACCCCAGAGACGGGAACCAGGGGAGCAGGTCCCCCACCCCCCACGGGCGGGGGCAGCAGGTCCACCGAGGTAATCGAGATCTCGGGAGGAGTCCCCGAGCTGTCCTGAGACCCCCCCCCAGGAGGGGCGTTCCAGAGGGGCAGCGAGACCCCTGGGGACAGGGGGCTGGCACCTGCGCCAGGACCCCAGGAGCTCAGGGCCTCCGCCCGCCTCTGAGCGGCCACAGGGGCTGGCACCTCTGAGGGGCCGGCGGAAAAGGCAGCCAGCGGAGCCGCCGCTCTACTGCAATCACCTGTGTGCCCAGGTGACGCGCCGGGGTGCGAGCGCAGGCGCAGGAGGCCCTCCCTCCTCAGTCCCGAGCGCGGCGCCCGCCGGGGGCCTGGGAGGAGCTGGTGGAGCAGAGCCGGGAACACGGTCGTCCTCCAGCGTTTTCCGAACCAACCGTCATTTAGAGGCGCCGGTCCCGAGGCCTGGGAGGACCTGCAGCCCGGGGATGCCTAGACGATGGGCGTCGGCAGGGCCCTTGGGCGAAGGTGAGCCCGTTTATGCGTTAGTGGTACAGAGGTGAGCCTCAGGTCTCTCCCCTTCTGGGCCCCGCAGGCCGGTCATGGACGGGGCGGGCGTGGAGAGTCCCGTCAGAGACCCCCCCAGGGCACTCGCCGCCTGGCTAAGCGCTGTGCCTGGCGGAGGGCGGAGGGCGGAGGGTAGCAATTCCCCTGGCAGGCTAACCGCTCGCCCTGTCCCAGCCGCCAGGCGCGAACGTGAGGCCCGCATATTAGAACTGCACCCTCGATACCACCGGCGTTCGCCTCTTGTCATATTTCTTACTTAGGCGGCAACGACTTTGGGTGTTGCGATGGAATTAATCGCCTCTTCCCCCTTCCCCCGGCCGACAGCCTTGGCTCCGGGCGGCTCCTGCAGGTGTATTTATACAATGTATTCTCTAAGTGACATCCGGGAGGTGCTGGATACATATTGAATAGTTGCGGCAACAAATGTATCTGCCTTAGGAAACTAGGAATAACAACCCCAGTAGGAGGCTGAAATTCACATTGGAACAGCGACATGCTTCTAGGTACGGTGGGCAGAGTCGGGGGGGGGGGTGTGCCCAGGGGAACCCGAAGCCAGCAGTCAGATGCGGGAGGTCTTCCTAAAGCTTCCACGGAATGAAAAGTCTGCAGGGAATACATCTGTTTTCGACCCGCGATGTCGCGGAGTGAAATCCCGCTGCGCGGACGTGCAGCTGGAACAGGTGTTAAAGGTGTCCCCCTCGATTCCGATGTCATCTTCCCACCCGTCCCGCCTCAAGGGGCAGAAGTAAGAAAAATGTTAAGGGTGTTTCCGAAGAGATGCCGGAGCGGATGTGCTCCCCGAGGCGGGAGGCCTGCACTTACATCGTCAGCCGCGACCTCGCAGGCCTGGAGCGAGCCGCGCCTGCGCACGTTCTTTACATAAAGCTCACCCTGCCCGGCCGGAGGGGCTCAGACCCAAGGGCCCGCGTTCGCTTCCAGCCCAGGCCACGTCCCTGGGGGGCAGGCTCGATCCCCGGCCCCCGTCGGGCCCGTGCAGGAGGCAGCCCGTCGGTGAGTCTCTCACATCCATGTTTCTCTCTCTCTCTTCCGTCCACTCTCTGAAAAGCAATGGGAAAAATATCCTCAGGTGCAGATTAAAAACAAACAAAAAACCGAACCAAACTAACAGAAAATACGGACCACCACGAGACCACCGCACAGAGTCGCACCCCCTGGTCTTGCAGATGCAGCTAGGCCCTTTATTAGGTTTAGAGGCAACGTTTTGCGGTCAAACAAAGCGGAGACACACACACTGAATATCAGGGGGTACTGATGGGGACCACGGGAATGGGGACTGTTTCACGGCACTTGGGGTGACGGTTTCCTGCCCCCACCCCTGCCCCGAGCTGTCCCATGACAGCTTCTCACTGACTTCAAATCCGGTCTCAGCCTCCCCGTCCTGTTCCCATCCTGTTCCCTTTCTTCCCTCGCGTCGGCCCGGCTGCCCCCGCAGGCGCGGGGCCGGTGCCAAGCGGGGTCTGGGAGAGGGAAGGACACGTGCTGGGCCGAGGCGGCAGCTACCAGGCAGGTGGATGGGCTAAAGGGGGTGGGCGCGGTGGGGCTCGGGAGGCCGCCCCAGGGAACCCGAAGGACCGGCCGGGGCGGGGGCCACGGGCAACACGGAGGGTTTCACTGAGTTTCGGGATTAGCCCTTTCTTGGGTCCCGGTGCCGGGACTCAGTGGTGCTTGAGGATGAGGCCCTTGATGGCGTCCTTGTAGCTCTTGTTGAAAGCCGTGTAGATCAGGGGGTTCAGGAAGGAGTTGGAGTAGCCGAGCCAAAGGAAGACGCTCTTCCAGGTGGCCGGGGGGTCGCAGGAGCACAGGGGGCCCACGAGCTCCGTGACGAAGAAGGGGACCCAGCAGACGACAAACACGCCGATGAGGATGCCCACCATCACCGCGGCCTTCTGCTCCCGCCACGTGTCGCCCTCGGCCTGGAAGCTGGCCTTGCCTCCACCGCCCGGGGCCGGCGTCCGGGGCTCCTGGGCCGGGGGCCTCTGCGGAAGCAAAGCGTAAGCCTCGTGAAGAGCCGATCCCCCCCCCCGACCTCTGACCTTCCACGGGGAAAGTCTCTCTGTTGAGATGTCTGACCACGCAGCTCGCTACTGATGCGGATGTCCCCGGGCCGCCGCTCTCCCGGCTGTTACAGAGCAAGGGACCCGCCAGCCTACAGTTTCTGTTGTCTAAACAGGGAACAAGCAAGTTGACTTGGAGTAAGTTAAAAAAACACACCAAAAGAGCTTGGCCAGCGTGGCTCAGGGGTTGAGCGCCGACCTGGGATCCAGGCGATGGGGGTTCCATTCCCGGTCAGGGCACAGGCCCGGCTTCTGGGCTCGATCCCCAGCAGGGGGCGAGCAGGAGGCAGCCGATCCATGACTCTCATCACTGATGTTTCTCTCTCTCCCTCGCCCTGCAATCAATAAAGACATTAAAA